GTAGGGAAAAGCACATGTGAGACTTTTTGTATTTGACTGGCTTAATAAATCTATTCTAAATGTCTTAGTATCTTACCTTTCTTATCTGGGGTCACATTTTGTCAGTTTTGTAATAGCAAGGTAGAAATGTCAGGGCCATAAACCTGAAACATCTCAGCTCATTTCTCCTTGACATAATGGCTGTTTCTCATGAAGAAAAGTCTACACATGAAAGTGTTGTTCTCTATGATTTATTGGAAGTGATTAACATTTAGGTTGTAATGGCTAACAGAGCCTGGGAGGAGAAGATGACATGATGCTATGGGAGCACAGGGCAGCCCGAATGCACTGAAGAGCTGTCCTGAAACCCAGACTCCAAAGAGGCACCACAGAATTTCTGTTTTCAAGCCTCCTCATCATTCAAGATGTCATCTTCGTGCATCAGAAATTGTTAGCATTACTCTCTCTTACTGTACATTCTACTTGTGCATGTTATCACGGTTAATTCAGTAAATGGACAATGCTGCTTGATGAATCACTGAGATCTAATTAAAAATATCTTCCACAGAAGTGTATAATTGGAGCAGGTATTTACGGATGTCAGCTCGGATCTCAGAAATGTTGACACTTGGGTGCCACCTCATTACAGGCTTCCCGTCCGGCCCCACCAGAAACTTTTCAAAGTTCCACTTGATGTCATTGACCTTCAGAGGCGTCCAGAACAATCTCTTATCAGGGTCCCCAAAGCTGTCTCCAACTGGAGGGCAGGAGTTCTGCATGGCAGAAAGTACAGGAGTGGAAATGTCAAGTGAATTACCTACATCCTGGAGATCTGTATGGACACAGTGCCAGCTTTGATTTGCAACACATCTGTTTCAATAATGTGCATGAAGGTAAAGAGAAATACTGTTTATCCATTACAGCCAGCAAACCTAGTGAGTTATTTGTTCTGTGGCTCGGAAATAATAGCTGTTCATATTTGGAATGACCTCATTCTGGGTTTGACCGTGTACATGTCAGTGCTGGGTGTGAGCATGTTTGAGTACTATTCTATACACAGTAATCCCTTTGTATGTTAACTTGTAGTTAAAAAAAAAAAAGTTTTTAATCACATTTTGCAAGCAGACCATAACTTACTTTAAGGAAAGTGAAAACCTCCTGCTCGTTCTGTCCGTTCACATCACTTTTCTCAAACAGCAGGAAGTTTGGAACAAATCCATTGCCCGGTCTGACATGTCTGGAATCCAGAAAGAGGGCAGCTTATCAGTGGACATGCCTCTGAGCACTCTGTGGCTTGGCAGCTGGTCTACATTCACTTTAAGCTCAGCAAATCCACACATTGTATTACACGGGCTTTGCTATGGATATAAGATGGAACCTGAACCTTAATACCCTGTGTGTGAGAAAGAGAGGTCACTAAGAGAAATTGATCTTATTACCAAAGGATGTTTTCTCCGGTTAAACGAAGGACTGTTGACTGACAGGATTTCCCAATATTGCAAATTCCTTGTTATATTCAGCTCTGGAGCTTCTTATGTTACAACTTATTACACAGAGTCCTGTGAGAAGCTTGTAGCTGACATTTAGGGGAATCTCGTGTTTCACATCTTGTATGTTTTTTTTTTGTTTGTTTTTTTTTTTTACAAACTTTCATTCTTCCAGACACTTTCAAGTTCCCACAAAGTTAAGCTTTTCACCTGACAGCAGTTAAACAGTACATGATTGTTTCCACTGTGTTTTTGTCATGCTTAACCTGGAACTGACTTGCACAGACAAAGAAAGATTTCTCACTTTAAACCTGGCAGGATTTCATGTCTTTCCCCCGGTTCCTGTTTCCCAAACTGGTTGCAGGGAAATCCAAGAACGGTGAGTCTGCGTGATTTCATCTCCTCATGTAGTGCATTCAGTTCTGATATTAGAAAAGAAAAGGCAAAAATGTCTTCAGGTGGAGAAGCTTGTTTTTTATACTGTAACACAAAGTAACAATGGCTGCAGTGCTGTTTCTTACCCACATACTGAAAAGTGTATCCTCAGTATGTAGCCACATTGACGAAGAGGACAATCTTGCCTCTGTAGTTACTGAAGTTCACAGTGTGATTCCCATTTAGAGTCTTTGCCTGGTATTTGTAAATGGTGCCATCTGTGGAGAAGTCACACCGCTGGTACAGACACACACACACAAAGGAAAGCTGGTTATCTTTGTTTGACCTGGCCAGCAACCAGCACAGTAAACCACCTGCTACTCTCAGGAATTTTGCTTACAATTTGCTGTCGATCATAGTACCGAGAAATTTGTACTGCTGTGCCTTTTAAAGAGCTTGATTTTACATAACAGGAGAGATGACAGTGGGATTTTTACTAAAACCAATCTACACCTCCTTTGTTTTGCCACATTAATGTTTAAAAACGATGATTTGGGCCAATCAATGAAATCACTCAGAACAGGACTGTGCTCAAAGTCAATCGCTACTAAGAAGGGACACAATAACAGTATCATCTGCAAATTTGATAATGTGGCATTTGTCATGATGCCTTTGGCAAAGGAAGAGGCCACAGCCCTGGGGGGAAAGCTTATTATTTTTTATCCCTGAAAAAAAAAAATTATACTGTTATCACATCTGTTCACAAGGCCCTGAAGGCTAGCCTAACAGTTGGTCCACTTTCTGTGGTCTCCCTGATAGATCCCAAAGCTTTAACCAAACAAGGTAAATCAGGGACAGCGGACATCTGTCCCACTACACAACAAAAGCCCTGTGTCAACAGAGCAGGACAACATTGCTGTCTAAGAACCAGCGGCACTTTGTTAAACCTTAAAGCCTAAGCTAGATTTCACTTACTTTGTATCCACTGATAAATAGTGTCTACTACAACTTGTGATTAAATCACAACAGCGATTGTATCACTGTGAAGTGGAAAACAGGATCTTCAGAGCTGTCTGTGTAACATGGGTGTTATATACAGTGGGTACGGAAAGTATTCAGACCCCCTTAAATGTTTCACTCTTTGTTATATTGCAGCCATATGCTAAAATCATTTCAGTTCATTTTTTTCCTCATTAATGTACACACAGCACCCCATATTGACAGAAAAACACCAAATGTTTGGCATTTTTGCAGATGTATTAAAAAAGAAAAACTGAAATATCACATGGTCATAAGTATTCAGACCCTTTGCTGTGACACTCATATATTTAACTTAGGTGCTGTCCATTTTGTCTGATCATCCCTGAGATGGTTCTACACCTTCATTTGAGTCCAGCTGTGTTTGATTATACAAATTGGACGTGATTAGGAAAGCCACACACCTGTCTATATAAGTACATGTGAGCTGTAGGCTCACAGTACATGTCAGAGCAAATGAGAATCATGAGGTCAAAGGAACTGCCTGAAGAGCTCAGAGACAGAATTGTGGCAAGGCACAGATCTGGCCAAGGTTACAAAAAAAAATTCTGCTGCACTTAAGGTTCCTAAGAGCACAGTGGCCTCCATAATCCTTAAATGGAAGACGTTTGGGACGACCAGAACCCTTCCTAGAGCTGGCCGTCCGACCAAACTGAGCTATCGGGGGAGAAGAGCCTTGGTGAGAGAGGTACAGAAGAACCCAAAGATGACTGTAGCTGAGCTCCAGAGATGCAGTCAGGAGATGGGAGAAAGTTGTAGAAAGTCAACCATCACTGCAGCCCCCCACCAGTCGGGGCTTTATGGCAGAGTGGCCTGACGGAAGCCTCTCCTCAGTGCAAGACACATGAAAGCCCACATGGAGTTTGCTAAAAAAACACCTGAAGGACTCCAAGATGGTGAGAAATAAGATTCTCTGGTCTGATGAGACCAAGATAGAAATTTTTGGCCTTAATTCTAAGTGGTATGTGTGGAGAAAACCAGGCACTGCTCATCACCTGTCCAATACAGTCCTAACAGTGAAGCATGGTGGTGGCAGCATCATGCTATGGGGGTGTTTTTCAGCTGCAGGGACAGGACGACTGGTTGCAATCGAGGGAAGGATGAATGCGGCCAAGTACAGGGATATCCTGGACGAAAACCTTCTCAAGAGTGCTCAGGACCTCAGACTGGACCGAAGGTTCACCTTCCAACAAGACAACGACCCTAAGCACACAGCTAAAATAACGAAGGAGTGGCTGCACAACAACTCCGTGACTGTTCTTGAATGGTCCAGCCAGAGCCCTGACTTAAACCCAATTGAGCATCTCTGGAGACACCTGAAAATGGCTGTCCACCAACGTTTACCATCCAACCTGACAGAACTGGAGAGGATCTGCAAGGAGGAATAGCAGAGGATCCCCAAATGCAGGTGTGAAAAACTTGTTGCATCATTCCCAAAAAGACTCATGGCTGTATTAGCTCAAAAGGGTGCTTCTACTAAATACTGAGCAAAGGGTCTGAATACTTATGACCATGTGATATTTCAGTTTTTCTTTTTTAATAAATCTGCAATAATGTCAAATTTTGTGTTTTTCTGTCAATATGGGGTGCTGTGTGTACATTAATGAGGAAAAAAATGAACTTAAATGATTTTAGCATATGGCTGCAATATAACAAAGAGGAAAAATTTAAGGGGGTCTGAATACTTTCTGTACCCACTGTAGGTGTGTATCAACCTGGTACACAAGTTTATACAAGCATGTCAGTTTTCACATAATGCCAATGCATGGAAAAGGACTCAAATGGTGAGGTATCTTAATGCCAGTAATACCCACCCAAACTAAACAGAGCTTTGTTGCATTGTTCGTGCAATTCTAGTTTGCGTACATGTATGCCAGCACGTCAGCATGGCCTCAGCATGTGTTTGCTCACAGCAAATATTTACCACTAAGGTGCTTTGGCAAAGAAAAACACAGTTGATTTAAAGAAACGATCTGTCCTGGGGAACATTCTCCAAAACCCTGACAACATGCCAAATATAGACATGGTGCACTCTGAAAGATAACCTGACATAGGTATTAAAAAAAGGAACAAACATAAACAAAACAGGGGTTAGGACAGGTGCTGCTGATTGCAACATAAATATTATTTACTTTTGTATCAATATTAAAATGACGAAACGACCCCCCCCCGGTTGGGAAACGACTTCTCTACCCACTGAACCACAGTCGCAGTTTTTGTTTATGATCTAAACAAAAACCTGAAAACACGTTAGTTGCACATCCTTATCTGTTGTAGTCTGCAACCACAATATCTTAAGACAGATATTGCGTTCTCCTGTTGCATTTTTTTTTAATAACAGTAATTCAGTTTCTGGGCGCTTTTACCTTTATTTTGTGAGTCGCTAAAAGGCGAAACCATTCGGCTATTAGGGCTATCTATTAGGCTTAAACAGAGTGATGTCATCTGTTACCTCTCTGTTCACATCTGTCTTTTCAGTTAGTCTGCGTCATACATTCATGCTACAGTATGTGAATGTGCTGTGTGTAGATATCAACAGGTACAGTACCTGCTTGAGCGGGGCTTCAGCGGTGCAGGGTCGCAGCAGACCGAGCAGCAGCAGTGGTAAGAAGGGCCGCATCGTGCCGTCCTTCACCCGACACACTTACTGCTCACTGTGCATGTCTGTGAGCTTCTCGGGTTAAATAAACCCCCGAGACAGGGGTGGGGGGTGGAGTGACACTGCAGCTGGCTGAGATGACGCCCTCTGCTGACGTAAGAAATGAAATGGAATGAATGAATGAATGAATGAATGCAGGATCTGTAGATATTAGATCAGTAGAAAGCAGGACTTCTCTTCTACCATCATTCACATCATTGTGTGTGTGCTTACCCTGCTGTGAGTATTCATAAAACAGCATTCGGATGAATACATGTCACCTTTTCAGACAAGAGGAGAAACACTGTTGATTTAATTTTTATTCATAGATCATTTCAGCTCTCTGGGATCAGCTGTTGCCATGGTGAGCTGAGTACCTTATACTTTTGATTCTCAGCGTTTCACTTTCTCGGGTCTTGACAGCCTCTCAAAGAGCATATGTGGCTTTAGGGGACCCCTGCTCCCTTGGGCCCCAGAACATGTCCACCGAGCCCATTCGGTAATCCACGCAACCCAGTGTGTTTTGGGAGTTTAAATGTTCACCACAGGAGGTCGACAATGAGCAGGCTGTGTTTCCTCAAAATCCAGAGGACTAGAGGTGACGTCAATGCTTGCAGTAGTGAGTCCTCGGAGTCGGTTACCGTGGTCAGAGATGGCGTCCCTTCTGCAGCCAGATAGGGTTGTCTATCTGGTTCGCGGAGAGAAAAGGATCAGAGCTGCTTTATCTCAACTTTACTTTTGTCGTTACTGTAGTGAGCTACGGTCTCTGGAATGTGTGTCTCACGAGGTATGTTATCACTTTCCCTTATTAAACTCTGGATATTACAAGCTAGCTGTTAGCTTTAGTTAATTAGCAAGCGGCTACTTTGTTGTTATCCGGTTGGCTAACTGTTAGCTTTGGCAGGTAGGTGGGATTAGGCTAACCCTCTCACGCACTGTAATGCATAACATGCCTGTCAATCAACTGAGTTTCCGACAGTCCCCTCATTTCATTGGCTATAAGCAACGGCTTAACTTCCGTTGTGTTGACGTGAATAGCACAAATGGGCGAATGACCTAGCTAGCTAGCTCTTGCTATTCTTCGAGTTTATCGAAACATTAAGTTGTTCACATAGGATTATGAGCGACATGTCTGAGAAGTACAGACCATTTGCCTTTACGGTGGTCTATCCCGGTTAACGTTATGACTGTCAAAATGTAATTTGTTAACGTGGCTCACAGTGACTTGATACCACACCCAGAGCGATCTAGATTTTTATCCTGTGGCAATCTAAGATTGCTAGTCACAGATTTTTTTTTTTGTAAATATAAAATTACTGGCAGAAATGGGGTTACCCCCCATTGTCATTGTAACACACTGTCCTAATAAATGATGACTATATACGGTACAGACAGTGTAATGATAGTCACGTGTATTGCTGTTGCATTATGCAAAACCATTATGATAATATAAAAATTATAAGGGTCATGTAAAATTTTAAGATGTGATTTACACATTCTGACTCCTCTTGCACCTCTGCCTCTGGTGATCAGGTGGACTCCCACTATTGCCCAAGTTGTCTGGAAAACATGCCATCTGCAGAGGCTAAGCTTAAGAAGAACAGGTGAGACTGACCTGCAGCTGTACAGGAAAAGCTACTGAACTTTTCAGTGTAATAGGTCATTAATTCAGTGTCATTGCAGTCATTAAATCTATCTGGTGTCCTTGTCCTGTGCTTCATTCTTGATTATATGTGAAATTTACTAGGTGTGCAAATTGTTTCGACTGCCCGTGCTGCATGCACACACTGTCTACTCGGGCCACCAACATCCCAGCTCCTCTGCCTGATGATCCCACCAAGACAGCCATGAAAAAGGCATATTATCTTGCCTGTGGCTTCTGTCGCTGGACCTCCAGGGATGTGGGGATGGCTGACAAGTCAGTTGGTGGGTTTTGACATAATGCAGACATATTAAAGTGGACAGAATTATTTTCATACTTCGGAAAGCATAAAACGCATCAGCAGTGCCAAAACACTGTGGTAACATCCTGTTGTAACTCAAGAGCTGCCCATTAGTTTCTCTCTGTAAAGAAAGGTGTTTTGGGTTGTAGTTGTTCATTATGGCTGTATTAAGTTTTGTGTCTTTGTGTATTTTGTTCATTGCAGCCAGTGGTGGATGGCAGGAACCAGAGAACCCTTATACTCAGAGGGTAGGTTTTTACCTGTGGTCATCGAAATTCTTTTGAGTTGCACTCACATGTTTCCTGATCGTGTATTTCTAAATGCCTTTTATAATTTAAGTGATTGCTAAACTGTATATGGCTGGCAGAGCTTGGAGGGTTACCCTTGCACAATTCTTCATAACTCTTGTTTTATCATAAATTCACGGAATATCGCTGAGCAGATTCTGGATGGAATTTTTTGTTTCCAATAGATCAACAAGCTGATCGAGTATTACCAACAGCTGGCCCACCGAGAGAAGCAGGAGAGAGACAGGAAGAAACTGGCCAGGAGACGACAATGCATGCCCCTGGCGTTCTCGGTACTCTGTTCACTCTGAGCCCAACAGATCAAAAATCTGTATATTCCTCCTGACCTTTCTTAAATGTCAGACACCTGTTGTCTCACTGTAATTTGTTAAATACTGGGTAGGTAGTACTGGGGAACATGATGCTGAAGAGATTCATTTGACACATACATTCTGCTTAAATCTTAATAATATTACCAAAGGTATGTGTGCCCCAGGTCTGTCTAATAGTTCAAAACAGCAGACAGTTTTTAAAATGATTCGTCCTGGTGTGGACATCTTCTTGCATCTTGTATTTGTTGGCACATGTTTTACAGCTCATGCATTCTGCTTTTACAGTAATGAACTTTTAGTAATGCAATCCTGTTTTTTTTTTTTTTGTGCACCGGAGCCTTTTTTTTAACACTTAACATGTGGTGTGCTGCTGTTGTTTTCCATCTCTGATGTATTTCTGTTGCTGCTGCATGTCACCAGATGCCACTAATGTTTGCCTAATTGCCTTGGTTTTACCTGTTTCTTTATTCTCTCTTTGTTTTCTTTGCTTATGCACTCTGATATTTTGGTTTTTAACCCACCCTCCCCCAGCAACACACTATTCATGTGGTGGTGAGTTGTATTTTTCACAGTTTTGGTAATATCTTTATAGTAGCGCTGTCTTCTCTTTATCTCTGTTCCTGTCTAATCTGTTATTGAGTGACCCCACAGATCACATGAATGTTTGTTTGGGTAAATGAGACCTAGATCTGCACAGTGGGAGTCCTTATGATGGTAGAGGGAGAGAAGTAAAGACTTTGTTGATGCCTGCATAATCAGATCAAAATGTTTTTTTCATACAGGTTAAGTCCTGAACCCTCATTGTGATAGAGTTGATTCTCTCCCACTATCCTAGGCACAAAGGCTCCTGTGATTGTCTTTTACCACAGGACAAATCAATTTGTTTTTGGCTTATTTATTGCTTATTTTAATGTCAAATACCATTTCAATTTTTGTTTTTAAAAGCTGCCATAAATTCTCTTTTAAGGCCTTAAAGTACTGGTGTAGAAAAATAGCTGTAGATTATTTTCATAAATCATCTTGAATTGTCCCAAATTTTCAGTAGGCTAAATGCATAATCAAGTATTTCCCCCCTAACTTCACTTAGGAAAAATATGGTCTTGGAACCAGACTGCAGAGGCAGCGATCTGGAGCTCCCATATCAAGCCTGGCGGGCCTTTCGTGAGTTGCTCTTTGTCATATACTGGGAGTTACTGCTGCTTTGAGTCCAAACATGGGTATTTTTTTCCTAGTAAATCTTGTGTAAATGTAAAAGACCACTCCCCTGGGTTTCCATATATCAGTCCAGCAAACTACACAATGTGTACATGCAGATTATTAGTGGCTTAGATACACTGGTTTCTTACCTTCCAGCAGCCATTGTGACATTAATTTCAGTGCACCATGAAAATCAATTTGCAGAGCCTTAAAACTTGGCTCCAGATGGGAAATCTATCACAATGAACAGTTCAGTTTGCCACTATTATTTTTTACATCATCACCTTGTAGTAGTACAGTTGTTAGCAGGGATCGGTTGTAAATTTCTTTACCAGAATGCAACGTTCAGATGTTGAGATGTTATCTCAACAGTATTAATAACTGGCTGACAGAATGCACTGTATTAACAAAGCATGGTGTCAGATCCAGGAGACAGGAGAAGTTGGGCAAGGACACAATGAAAAGAATCATGTGAATATATATATAGATTTAAAATGTTGCAGTTCAGTAGCCAAGTCAAAAATTGAAGGGACCAACACTGGGTTCTCAACTCGTCTATGATCACTTGCATCAATGTAAGTGCTGAACTGTTACTGTAATTTCCGGACTATAAGCCGCACCCACTAAATGTAAGATGAAAAAACATGTTGTAAATAGCCGCAGGTGTCCACGTTGTAACATGAGATATTTCGACAGCCAGATCGATCGCCTGTAACTTGAAGCGGCATAATATGCATTTCGTCGTGTGTTGTCCATGATGAGGGTGTGTGCATGAAGCGACAAAAATAGTTCGGAAAGTACGGTACCTACCTCATCTGTGTTTCAAGTCTTTGCAAGTTGTGAAAACCAGTGGCTGCAATACACAATAACATCAGTTTAAAGTCTTACGTTGGGCTTGGAAAATGCTCAGTGACATGTAAGTTATACAATATGAAGATTATTTGTGCTGTTTAAGCAACATTAGTGCATTTGTTGTAATGGGTATGTGCTCTGAGCGTTGGAAACAGGAAATCTCACCATGCTTTGCGGTGTAGCCAGCTCTGTTCAGATGAAATGTCATTTATTATAAGGGATACTGTATGACAATTTGTTGATAATAATGCCTGTGTAACTAGACTTAAAGAGGGTGAGGACCAGAAGGAGATCACCATTGAACCTGCCCAGGCTCTTGATGAAGTGGAGCCTCTGCCTGAAGACTGTTACATCAGGCCCATCAGTTTACCAGAGGGTCAGAGATTGTCCTGAACTCATTAAACAATTGTTAACTTTCATGTCTTTTACTGTGGTTAAGTTGCATCTGACTTTTATTGTGTCCTCACAGTGACCACGCTGCGACAGCGACTTCTGCAACCTGACTTCCAGCCTGTGGGGGCATCTCAGCTCCACCCCAGACACAAACACCTTCTGATGAAGCGCTCCCTGCGCTGCAGGGTCAGTACCGCTCAAGGCTTTTACTCTCCTGTGTCTGTTAAAGGCTGTTGTTTTTAATGTAGAACACATT